TTTAAATTCTTTAAAAAAAAATTTAGATTTATCACCCAAAAAAAAACACGAGACGGCTCTTTGACACCCATACCCGCACGACCTAGATAGCTATTGCTAAATATAGCCTGCCTTTGCTAACATTCTCACAATTAGTAATGAACCTTTTCCGAGAAAACAAAATTTGAGAAAGTTTGATCCATCTTCACCCTCTAAATTTGTGTCAATTTCCTTTGTTTGGTTATGGAACTTCTTAGTGTTGAATGTTCTTATTATATGCTTAAAAGTAATGCTATTTCTATGCATGCGTGTTATGTTAATTTATTTCCTCATAATTAAGGAGCTTAGTACATAATTACAAGGGTTCAATTTATTCATAATATAAACATATTAAATATCCAAAAGTTAGTTTAAATGGCGTGACTCAATATAATGTGTAAACAAACATAAGTTAATGAATGAATTTATTATGGACAATCATTTTGTCACATTTTGAACATGTTAAAGCCTAAACATAATCATATTGCGTCAATTCATGACCCGAGCTTGAGCCACTGTCGCCACTAACTGAAATAGGATCGTAGTCGTTACCAACCACTACTTGTAACATTGAGTATTATATCATCACCGTCCTCGCCACCACTTGTAGCATTCATCAAGAATTGGGATGTAGTGGCGATTATCCTTCGAGTAGAGGTATTAAAAGGGATGAATGGCTCGCTCACCAAGGGACGAACTGATCCAAACTTTGGTTGAGCGAGCCGGCTCGTCTATTTGTGTTTGTGTTTGAGTGTATTAAAAAGTAATATTTGTTGAATGAGAAAATTAATATGATAAATTTGAAATTTTAAAAGTTAGAAGTGCTTAGTTTATTTTTCTCTTCTTTTTACCCACGTTGAGTTCCCTTGGCTTGAAAATTTAATAGTCAAGTAAAAGATTTTTTTTTACACTTCTACTTTATAATGTTCCAAAAATAAATTTTCACAATCAAATAACTCATCTCGTATTAATTTTTATTCACTCAAAATATTTGAAGTATATAAATATATTACATTCATCTATAGCAAAACAAAAGATGTTTACAAAACGGTCCTACAACTTTAAATAACTCGTGAGACATCCTCAAGTTTTAGTTTAAAGCTTGCAGTGTGTAACTAAATTTCCAAAATAACCCTCACTCTCGCAGCAATTAATAGGAGTTATGTTAAATTCACTTTTAAGTGTTACCTAAGCAAAAAATGGGGTCGAAAATGTTTGTTTTATAATGTATGGTTGGTAGCATGTTTCTAAAAATCGATAAAATTAAAATTTAGAATAATTTCTCTATTTAAATCAATGTATAAACTTGAAACTACAAAACATGGAATTCAGATAAATTATTTAACTAAAAATAGATTCCTAAAGCGTTGACAATTATTTTTATTATTGTTGCTATAAATTTAACTATAGTTTAGTGATTACCGTACACCATACATCTTCAAAATATACATTGACATCTCATCCCCACTTGAACTATTTATTCCCATTTAGTCCCCACTCTAATTGATTAATTATTTTCTATCCTTTTCACTGTGACATGTTCCCTTTACCTAATTAATAAATCCTCCATATAAATACAAGCAAAGAGACTACTTACCCAACACATAAGAATATTAACTCTACTACTTGATACACAAAGCAATGGCTTCTACTGCAAATACTAAGACAGAACTCCTACATTCCGGCAGGCCATTCCGGCTGGCCGGTCTACGGAACCTGTCCTTCTCCTCTTCTTCCTCATCACGTTCATGTAATTCATCCTTTGGATCACTCTCTTTCAATGAAGATTTTAATTCATTTAGTCCAATTACCCCTCTTAGATTCTCATCAGGAGTTCCATTTTCTTGGGAAAAAATCCCTGGAATTCCCAAGCAAGAAAGTATCAAAAACAAAGAATCCTTAAGGAATCTTCTACCCTTACCTCCTGCTCGAAAGACCTCGAATTCCTCCAAGAAATATGTTCATGGACAGATTTTTCCCAAGAAAAAGGATCCATTTTTTGCAGCATTTGTGGTGTGTTCTAAGGATGATGATGACGATCACGATGCATTTGGCAGTCTTCGGAAAGGATTAAAGGCCACGAGGGCTCTAAATTCTTGCAAACGAAGTTGTGCTGTTTCAGATTCACTTGTTTATATTCCAGTTCCAAGATCAAGCTCAGATTATCTGCTCAATCGGCGTTCAAAATAAGTTTGCAATCACTGAAAAATAAGCAGTTGCAGTCGAAGATTAATTTTTCCATCGTAGAAGCCCAAAATTCCGTCAATGAAGTCTAGACGGTTCCGTCAATATATAGATAAATCTTATTGTTGTTACCTAGACTTACTATGGATCTTAACTATCTCCTCCCCCGCCCCCCCTCCCGCACCCTACCCTGCTTTTTTATCTTATGTTTCGATGTTGAAACTAGCAGAGATACAGATACATATATGTATATGTACAAATCTTTGTTTAGTGTATGAAGAACTGCAATATCTTGTTTTATTTGTGGAGAGTACGTGATTGTTATTTAGTTGGAAAACGAGATCCTTTCTGGATAGCATGTGATGTTTTATGGCAATAAGAGTAAATATTACACAATCCCATGTGACAAAGTGAATATTGGACCACGTTACACTATCAATTGGTCAATATTATTTAATGGATTTGTGTCAATTCCGGCTAGACCTTGGTGAAGTTTTGGGTAAAAAGCGTTCAATTCTAAAAGTCAAACAGCAATAATTTCACATTATTTCGGGATTATAAATTTTTTTCGAGAATATTATGCGCGTATTAGTTTAGTTCGTCAATTTGATAAGTAGAAATTTATTCATCAACCCTTTTATGTTACATTTGAGCTAACAAGCTTTCAATTTTGTAGAACTTAAGTTCTCACAGATGCCTTTTCATGATTCTGTCAATATATTTAGAGGGTATTTGGTGTAAATTAAAATCAGATTTTAAGTGGATTGTGATGGAAGTTTTTGAAATGTGTGGTTGAAAAGATATGGAACTCATGAAAGATATGGTTGATATTGATTGTTTGATTTAGATTTAGATTAAAATTTGACCCAAACAGGCCTTTAGCCATAATATCCTTTACAAATTTTACTATACTAATAAATATCGGTTTTAGATTTATCAATTTAGAGAGCGTTGCAAACTCGTACCATAATCAGGAGTTTCTTTATATTTGTGATTTGATATAATCCATCTTGATCTCATGAGACTAGAGAATCAATTATGAAAAACTCTACAATTCCAATTAGAAGATTTTGTATCGGCAAATTCACTCAAAACGAGAAATGTGAATTGCTTTTCAAGAACAAGTGTATACGTATACTCTAAAAAGAATTCGCTATCACAATGGGTAAGTGAAGATCCATCACATTTATCACATAGATTAGTAAGAAAATCAACCCCTCTTCTCTTTTGAAAGTAACAACTAAGCATAACTGTAGGGATCATATTAGAAATCTAGCTTTAACCCAATTTTTTGATAAATTATAATTTTTTTTTTCTTGTTGTAGGTAAGGCTAGTACAATTAAAATTAGGTGGTAGGGCGGCTACGTACAAAGAGTAACATAGACTTTTTGTTATTTAACAAATAGAAGCTACCCTATTGGGACTTGTGCAAAGTCGTCCTCTTTTTTATGATTTGATGGAGAATTTCCACGACAATGAAAATGTAAATGAAACAAAAAATAATTATTGTATCTTGTCTAGCGTATTGAGTAAAGGTCTAAATATGAGCAATGCTAGACAAGTAGGAAAAATGGACAGAAATTTACAAACAGATATACTTGGCAGCAATTTATTGGGAGATGGAAATTTTTTTATTAAAAAACAGACGAATCGCAGATCGCCACGTCTGTCTTTTTTTTCCTGTCTGGGTTTCCCTGTTTGAGTAGATTAATTCGTCTAAATATATTGCCCATATTTGACTTTCATTAAATTTTAATTTATTTTTCTCTTTTTTTTTATCAATCACACGTTCTCTCAGTGAAATAATATTATACATAAATTTAAAAATTTTCCTTACTTTTTAACCGCACGTTCTTTAAAAATTATTATTCCAAAATCATTTTTTTTTTTTTTTTTAAATAATGGAGCTCAAACAAGGGTATAATTATTCTTGGCATACATTTGTTTTATGAGAAGGGATATTAATGACGCGCAAGCACTTGACACACTATTCGTTCATAAATGATGACCGTTTTGTTTTATTTAATCTTGTTAATAAAATTGGACCGTCTAGATTCAATTTTATGCAAAGATAAGATTGGATTACTACGTTTTATAATTATGAAAAAGACGGATAATCCAACAAATTGATACTATTGTAACAATCATATAATTCGAACCGTTGGTTCATCTTGCTAAATGATTTATATTTTCAAGATTTAAACTATGAAATGATTCACACTACAGTTATGAAAAACATTTAATGGGTGTTTGGTAGGGATTAAAATTAAATTTTTAATAGATTGTGATGGAAGATTTTGAAAATTGTGATTGAAAATTCATGAAACCCATGAAAGATGTGGTTAATATTGATTGTTTTACTTTAATTTAGATTAAAATCCGATTTTAATCAGAAACAAATGTGGCCTAAGGTTAATTATATTCACACTAAAATTTTTATTTTTTGCACCACATTTTAATTGTATTTTCTTAATCTTTGTTCATTATAGTAGTTGTATCTCTAACAATTTTTCATGTCTTTCGGATCCTTAAACTTTTTATTAGTTAATACATCTTATATTTGATGATAATTTTTTGTCCAAAAGTTTGTTGATATGGCGTAAAATAAGTTATTTTTTCATCATATTTAAAAAAGTAAATAAATAAAAAGTGCGAAAAAATATTTGTTTTCCTCATTTTAAAACATGAAAACAAAATATTTTAGTATAAATCATCATCTAAGACGAAACATACCAATTAATGAAATGTTAAAGATAAGAATTCGAAGAAAAAAATTAAGGAAATAATTATTACAATGAACAAAAATTGGAGGAACATTAATTCAACTATAGATTTCTATAGTTTTCTCATATTTTGTTAACCATTTTGATCTTCTTCTTCCTAACAAGACCTTCACAGAAAGATCTTGAATATAGAGAAGATTCCAACTTCACGTTGCATCTTGAAAGAAGTGTAAATATTGAGAGCTTACCTGTGAATTTATTAGCTAAACTCACTTAGAAGTTCTCTTTTGGACTCATTTGGTAAAATTTTGACAAGTCAAAAATTGAATTTGATATTAAAAAAAGTTATTTTGAATTTGTTTGAATAATTTTCTGGAAACGTTTTATCTGATTAAATTATTTAAAAAATAATAATATCTATTAAATCTCAAATATTATAAATTAATGATGTTAGTATTTATAAATAAATTCAAACAAATTTATATTATCTTTCATATATAGATTTGCATCAATTTTGATTTTCAATTTCTCCATTTTCATATATTACTTTTTACTATAGTTTATTTAAATCGTATTCATCAATGCGAAGGATGAAGAATCATGCAATTATGCGCAATTAAGACAAAGAAATATCATGCAAGGGTTTTTAGATAATTAGAAGAGAAAAATTTCAATGGAGGCTTCAAATCAACATTTTTATTGAATAAGCTAGAAGCAAAATTCCAAAAACTAATATTTTGCAGAATTTTGTTGCAAGATTGTACTATTTCTTCAATAAAAAATTATTTTAAATTTACCAAAAAACTTAGTCCCTGTTTGTTTGGCATTATAAGTAGAAATTTGACCGATTGGGAGGAGTCTAACAGCAATTTTTGACCAATCTCTCTTTTGGGTGGGACCCACAATTTTTTTTTTTTTAAAAAAAGGGGCTTAAAATAATTGTGCTTATTTGACAAGCAAAAGTTGGAACTTTAAAAGCAACCTCAAGCAACGCCTAGAGGAGGCTGACAAAATTGACTTTCTTAGAAAATTATTTTATAAAAATTAGAAACCCAGCCAAACAGTTCTTAATGTATTTTTTTTTTTTTTTAAATAACAATTCATAGAACATCGAAATAGCCAACGGATACAAGGAGGATAAAACTCCAACACAATGCCCCTCCTCAGAGGGATTAAATGCTTCCAAATTAGTTACATTTTTTCGTTCTTTATTATAATTAAAACAAATGAGTTACTTGAATAGTATAATAGAATTACTATCAAAAGTTAATCAATGAAATAACTCACACACCCTTACCAATTTATTAAAAGAAAAATAAGTAAATTGATTTGTAAGTAAATTTTCTTCATTTATCCAAATGAGGACTAATTTTTTTTTATTTTTTTTAACACAAACACTAATCACAATAATATTTTATTTAACTCATCAATACTGTTACTAAGAAAATATAATTTTAATTATAGATATTATTTTATTTTATTTTTAGGCGCTAGAGTCACGCAATCAGCAAAATTCCGAAGAAAGTGCAACCCGTAGACTTGAGACATCCCGAATTAAACCGTGGGCATAACAAAGATATATCCATGGAGGATTCCACCACCAAGAAGAGTCCCTTTCAACACCATCGAGGACTCGCTCAACCATGTTCAAACACAACTTTCTAATCAAGATAAAATATTAATTTTAATTAAAAAATAACAAGTTGAATGTACTATATCTCTGCAATCTATATTATACTCAGTCGAAATCTATACTATTCGATGTAGTATATACTATATGGTATTTGAATTCTATTGTTGTTAATCAAAATCCTTATTGACTAAAGGTAGAGTGTCTCCGAGGATCTCTCTCCATTTTCGCATTTTTTAATACTCATACAGACTCAATTCCGATTTTTATAAGTCCACCTGTATTTGAATAATTCAGTACGCTTTATATTTTTCAAGACTTAACGACACATAATATATTGAGTGAGCTCTTATTCGTAGAACTTTATCTCTCGCACTCATACTTTTGATAGGAAGTTTTTCCTTTTACTCATCTTCTTGTGTTTAGGATTTTAAATTAATACCAAACTTATAAAAAAATATTTTTTTTTTTTATTTCAATATTCATATTGCATTATTTTTTCCCTTAATATTACAGACCAAGCTGTTTCACATTCATAATTGAGGTTGACCAACAATAATATATCTCCAATGCACCCAATTATTTTGATTTTTTACTGTAATGTATCATAAATAGTTGTATTAGAATAGGATCTTATTCTTCACAAGCAACA